AGTGATTGTTTTCTCCCCTCCCTGTCCTGGGTCAGCAGTGCTGTGTCCTCTCTGCAGCAAGGAGGGCTGACCTACCCGCCTTGGGCCTGGCAGAGAACCCGGATGGGGCAGAGTAGCCAGGGTGGCTTGACCAGCCCCCAGGACGCGGGTGCTGCAGTCGGTACCGGGAGGAGCCACAGGTGCCCATGACCCTTCTCAGCCCCACTCTCGGCACCGAGTTGGGCAACACCAGGGGTCAGTGCCCTCACACCACCACAGCCTCTCAGCCAATTTTGGGGGTGATGTCAGGAGACAGAGTAGCCTCAGGGCTGCCATTGTTTCAACCACACCTCCTCCAAGAAGTCCTCTGGGCTCAGCCCCATCTGCACCTGTAGCTCCGAGGTACAGAGAGAAAGGGCCGAGCAGTCCCTCAGTGCCTCTGGCAGACTCAGGGCCCAGCTGAGCTCCCTGGGCCTCTGTGAGCTTCCCCAGGGGGTTTCACAGACGGCAAGGTGTGTCCTCAGCCAGAGGCCAACCTATGGGGCAACAGCCTAGGAACTCAGCGAGGTTACCCCCATTTTATAGATAAGAAGACTGAGGCTCAGTGAGATTTAAGAACTTGCCCTAGGGCACAGTCTAATGAGTGCCACGCCCAGAAGCTGTTTGATTCTAAAGAGGGAGGTCGTAAGCACCACAGCACACTCTGTTCATCCTGCATATCGGTGCTGAGTCAGTGCTGGTCAAATCTAAACAGGATGATTAATAACCACAATGAGGGTGATCAACAGCAGCTAGCATTGGCCTGCCCACTCACCCAGGCCTGCACTTGGTGTTTTAGGTAGGGTGGATACAAATATGATTTCCATTTTACAGATGGGGAAATTAAGGTACAGAAAAGCAACTCCCTTAAGAACCCCAAAGACTGTCTCTCCCCTGACCTTGCTCCTCTGGGGCCTCAGAACCTAAGGAGTGAGGCTGAGATGGCCCCCAACCCTCTCTAGATACAGGCTTGACCCTCACCTTGGCTGCCCTGGCCTTTCTTCTCCCCTGTCCAAATCCAGGCCACAGTCCTACCCTTCTCCAGCCCAGGGGCATCCCCCAGGACAACAAGGCAGGCAGACAAGCTTCTTTCAGCTCCCAGGGGCCCTTCCCACACAGGCCAAGCCCACCCTGAGGTCGGACGTAGACTCGGGGGGCTGTCTGCCCTGCCTGCCCTGCCCAGCCTCGCTGTGTGACCCCGGACACCGCACCTCCGCTCTCTGGCCCTTGCTTCTTCCTCTGTGAAGCACAAGGCTTCAGGAAACCCAATCTCTCCCTTCCCCTCCCTCCCAACTGCCACGTGCATTGTGACGGGTAAGGCTGGAGGGCTCCTCCCAGCCAGGTCGCATTTTTCTTTAAACAGGTGGCTCTCATAACAGCAAAGCCCCAAGAGTCACAGCGGTGCTAAGCCAGTGGGCTTTGTGGCCGGAAGACAAGAGGCGCGAGTGAGAGCTGCAGGTGCAGGTGGAGAGCCACCGCAGCCCCCACCGCGCTCCCCAGGGAGGAAATGCACCCCCGAGGACCTGCCCGCCAGCCAGGTGCTTCACCGGCCCCAGTCAGCATCCATTTCCCCCCAAGAACTGCGTGACCCTGGCTTTCTCAGCCCACTTTACAGAGAAGGAAACTGGGGCTCAGGGAACTGTCCACCTGAGCCCTTGTAGCTGCTAAGCGGTGAGGCAAGGATCCCTGCTCAGTCTGTCTGAGGCCCACGACCACCCTGATTCTCACTCCGCCCCTGCCCCCACAAAGTGGGGTGTACATCTGCAAAGCAGTTAACAGCATCTACCTCCATCTTGGGTGGGTCTGGGTTCACCTCTAGTTCTGCTATTTTCTGGCTGTGTGACTTTGACAAGTTCCTTCCCCTCTCTGAGCCTCAGTCTCCTTATATGTATATGAGGATAATAACAGGACTGTATTTTTTTTAAAAATATCTGCAGCATATATGTCCGCATTTCCCTGACCAGGGATCCAACCTGCGCCCCCTGCACTGGAAAGTGGAATTTTAACCACTGGACTGCCGGGGAAGTCCCATAATAGGACTTACTTTAAAGGACTGCTGTGAGCATTAAATGAGTTAATATACACAAAGCAGTTAGAACAGTGCCTGAAACAGAGTGAACATTCAAATAAGAGAAAGAAAAAGGTATGTTAGACATTGAGCCTCAATACTCTGCACAAGAGGGGGGCCTGGGCTGTTGCAACTTGGATTGGCTCCCTCTGCAGCCTACAGCTTCAAGGCTGTCAGATTTTGCGTAGCATTGAACAAGCCACTTCACCTGTCACGCCTTAGTTTCATTATCTGTAAACGGGGACGAAAACATCTGCTTTGTCGAGCTGTCCAGAGGATTCTGTGAGATAAATCACCCAGGTGCCTGGTACCCACAAACACTCAAATGGCAGCATCGTTACTCTTATTACAGTGACAGCCATGTATCAGCATCGCCCTCCATGACACTGAACACCTGAGGGCCATCAGATTTTCCAGCCTTGCCTCCTGTGGAAACAGACTGATAAGGGCCACCCCTCCACCCACCTTTGTACCTCCTCCAGTCCCCAGCAGGTGTTCAGGAAGTTATTTGTTGGAATAACATAATCAGAGCAGGTAGGCGGCTGCCTAGGGTTTTGCTCCTCAAAGTGTGGTCCGTGGCCCAGCAGTGTTAGCACCTCCTGGGAGCTTGTTAGGAGCTCAGCATCTCAGGCCCCAAATCCAGATCTCCTGATTCAGAGTCTGAACACTAACAAGTGTCAGGTGACATGAATACTCTTGAAAATTTGGAAGACATGGCTTTGCTTTGCCTTCTCAAAGTTGGCCGGTCCTGAGAAAACAAAGAACCCAGCAGCGGCTTCTGTCCCAGAGAGGCCCACAGCTGGGGCACACCACTGCCAGTGGCTTCTGCACAGGCAGTTCAGGAAAGCTGGCTAGGGTACGGAATTTTTGAAGCCAGCCCACCCTGGGCTCTAACCCCAGCATCATCACATCTTAAATGTGTGATCGTAGGCCTCATTAATTTCTGTATCTCTCTGTTCATCTGTAAAATGAGACGACACCAGCTACCACCCAGAGTCACTGCTAGGATCAAGTGAATTAATGAAGGGTAGTTTATTCAGAATGGTGCCTGGCACAGAACAATAATCCAACTCAATAGGGTCTAGCTATTAATTCTAGTGGTTCCCCATCCTACACACAGGATGGCAGGGAGTTGGCTCTGGTCACAACGGCTGAGATCCACATTCCTGGCTTCACTGACCAGCTCAGACACAATCCCTCCTCTCAATTATACAAAATGTATCACATCTCACGTAGGTAGTGGGTGACACTCTATCTTCCCTCTCAAGCATTACCTTTTAATCTTTGGACACCTCTGTTGCAGGTGGAGCCCATTTCCCAGCTGCAGAAACTGAGGCCCAGAGAGGGGAAATGGCCTGCCAGCTTGAAGCAGAGAGGATTGGGAGAGGCCCAAATAATGGGCACAATAATAGTCCCTCCCTCACAGGGCTGTTACAGATGTGTTGTAAGGATCAAGCTGGTGCATATAGCAAGTTCTACAGAAGGGTCGTCTGTGATCTCTCTCCATAACCCCCATTTCACTCCCAGTCAAGAGGTTTTGTCTACTGCCTTGGGATGCATATTAGGGTAAGGTGGTTCTCCAGCCCAAAGGCAGGGGGACTCCCAAAGCATTGAAAAAAGGGAATTCCCTGGCAGTCAGTCCAGTGGTTTGGCTCTGTGCTTTCACCAAGATTCCCCCAGGGGACTTCCCTGGGGGTCCAGTGGTTAAGACACTGCACTTCCACTACAGGAGGCATGGGTTCCATCCCTGATTGGGGAACTAAGATCCACCATGCTGCATGCACAGCCAAAAAAATAAATTTACAAAAGGGGGGGGAAGCCTTCAAAGGAACAAAACACTAATGATGGGACATAGGGCATCCAGGTGAGCTGTGAAGGAGGCATGTGGATGGCAGATGTTCAGCCCCAGTGCCTGAAACATCTGGCAGGAACAGCAGAGGCGTTTTCCCTCTGGTGGGGGGGGGCATCAGAAGTGGGGACCAGCCTTTACCTCGTCAGAGTCCCCCTCCCCTTCTCCCCCACACCCAGGACTCTCACCCATGCTTTAGCGATACCTGCCATCATCATTCACACCTATTTTTCAGAGAGGCAAATTGAGGCTGATTGCAGTTCCTTCCTCTGACCTCACCCAATCCGCCTCAAACCCTACAGGCTGATTCACTCTGCTGGACAGACTCCTGGGCTCCTTTCCCTGGACTCTCTCAGTGCTCCCAAGCCTGCCAAGTGGGCCCAGACCCTCCCTGACCCCACCATTCCCAAGACACCACAGCTGGTGGGAGAAGGGATAAGGAATTTATCCCTTGGCAGCTAGTGGTCATGGCTTAGCCCAGAGTGAACCCTATGGAGGCCCAAGGCCTAAGGCCCATCCACCCCCTCTAATGTGGGGAGAGGGGTTACCTGTTCCCCCTCCCTACCCTTTCTGGCATGGCCCACTGCTCTCACAAGCACATCCCCAAACCAGGGTTCCTTGGTGCTCACAAAACAGTCATAGTGTTGGAGCATAAAGCTGTTTCCATTCACCCTGCACTCATGTGTTGTTCACACTAGGTGCCTGTGGGTGTAGACACAGGGGCCGGTTTGACAGCCATGGTTCAGAGAGGTTAAGCCACCTGCCTAGGCTGCTCAGAGCAGGCATTGCTAGGATGCCCATTTGACAGACAGTGAAACTGAGACCCAGATGGGCCAAATCAGAGGCAGAAGCAGAACTTGGAGGCCAGCCAGGGGCGCCTCCAGATTCAGGACCCTTCCTGTCTCACTGCCTCTCATTAACCGGCGTGGAGGCGGGCAAGGACTTGAGCTGAGGGAAGAACGCGCCCGCAGCTGCCCTGTTTGCTCCGGGAGCTGCGGATGCCCCCAAGCCCTCCAGCCAGACAGGGAGCCGGACCCCGGAACCCGAGCCCCCTCGCGCGCTCACTTTGGGCTTGTCGAAAGCTGGCGTCTGGGCCATGGTGCCAAGCGTGCGCCCCAGCGCTGCTCGCTCTGCCGAAGGAAGATGGGTGGTCCCCGCTGGGTCGATGGCCGGTCCGCTTCTCCGGGGGCCCGCAGTGACCGCGGCCCGCCACGCTCCTCTTAAGGGGGCCTGGCTCCGCCCCCGCTGTCCGGGCCCCGCCCCGCCCCGCCCCCTCGCCGGAGCCCCCGCCCCGCCCCTCCCCATCGACAGGCGCGCTGCGCATTTCCTGGAATTCCTGCCGCTCGGGGTGGACAAATCCGAGTCCCCTCGGAGCCTTAACCGGCCCCATGTCTCTGGCCCGGGACCCCGGGTTGGAGCCACCTGTGGGCTCAGACTCCAGCCGCCTGGCCGGACTCTGCGCCGGCCCGGTCCCTCCTGCAGGGTCACAGGACTGCCTGGGCGCCTACATGTGCCAGGCCCCAGCTGGAAACTGGAAAATCGGTGCGCTTCACAAACTTCGTGTGGCTCGCACTCTACCGGACAAGACACACGCTCATCGCAGAATCACACAACAGGGATGTATAATCAAGAAGCTTTAACGGGGACCAGTCGTGGCCGGCAGGTGGGGGAGGGCTTCTCCTGGATCTTAAGGAGTTTATCAAATGAAGGGGGTTGGGGTGGGTGGGGGTGGAGTGGAAGAGGGCAGCCCGGGTGGAGAGGGCCTTCTGTGTTGCAGACCCCAGGGAGCTGGGGAATGAAAAGAGGAGGGGGCATACAGCAAATTCTCTCCTAGGCATTTACCCTTGAGAAACGACCCACGGTACAGCCGGAGAACGCCTGCAAGAATGTTCCCACAGTGCTGTTTCTAATAGCAAAAACATTCCAAACACCCTGATGCCCATCCCCAGGCGGGTGGGCAAATAAACTGGAATATTCACAGCGTGGAATATTATACAGCAGTGAAATTGAATGAACTTCACACAACAACACAGATCTATCTCACAAGCAATGCTAAGTAAGTAGCAGAAAACTACATACACGATGATGCAACATCTAGAATGTTTAATGAAAGCGACACCCAAACTATGCATGTTTAGACAAACAGGCATCAGTAGAAAAAAAGCAAGGGAAAATATTTGAGAAGAATGGTTATCTCAGGGGAATGGGGAAGGAGAGGAGGGGGGAGGAGCATACAGGTACTTTCAGGTTATTGGCGATGGTCCAGTACTTGGGTGGGGTGATGGTTCTGTTTCATTTCATTATAGAATAAATACAGTAACAACACATAAGGGAGAAAGAGGGGGGTAGGAGAGTGGAGGACAAGGGGCCAAAGTCAGGCAAGGAGCAGATCACAAGGGACCTGTTGGATTTGGTGAGGATTTGGTCCCCACCCCCCACCCCCCGCCCCCAAGAGCACTGGAAAATCAATGGAGGGTTTTAAGTGGAGGCAAGATAGGATGAAACTTTCATTCAGAAGAAACATTCTCCAGCAGCTGCTCAGAGTGTAGTCCTGAAATCACTAGCATGATAACCACCTAGGAGTCGATTTGAACCGCAGACTCTCAGACCCCGTTCTAGCCCTCCTGAACTGGAATTTGTACTTGAATATCATCCCCCATGTGGTTCCTATGCAGATGGAGGGGAAGCCCGGGCTCGCTGCTGTGAGGGGAAGGTACTGCAGAGGGGCCAGAGGAGGAAGGCGGTAGCGCAGTGATCTGAGTAGAGATGGCTGTGACCATGGGGAAAATCAGATTCAAGCCACGTCTAGGGGGTAGAATCAGTGAGGCTTGGGTTGAATTGTGTGCGACAGTGAGGGTGAGAGTGAGTCAAAAATGACCCTTTTTGACTCTATCGCCCTAGAACATCCCTGATAGTCTAGTGGTTAAGACTCCGGGCTCCCAAAGCAGGGAGCACGGGTTATCTTACCTGATCAGGGAACTGTGATCCCACATGCCACACAGTGCAGTCAAAAAGTTTTTTTAATAAATAAAACACATTTACTAGTGGAAAGAAAGAGTAAGACAACTATCTCAAATAAAAGTGAAATTAAAAAAAAAAAGATCCTTGATGCATTGTTGAAGCCAGAGGAGTTTTCTGTAAGACCGTTTCCTGGCTTCTCATGTCACTTAGAGTGCACGATAATGGCTCCTGTTTACTGAGACATACTTGAAGTCAGGTACTCTGGGAAGCACTTCATAAACACCATCCCATTTAGTGTCTACAGCAATTCTGTGAAGTAGGATCAGGTCCCATTTTACAGATGAGAACACTGAGGCTTAGAGAAAGGAAGAGCCCGCTTGGCACACATGTTGTATGTGAGGGAGCTAGGATTTGAATTTGAATCTGATTCTAGAACCTTCATCTGTACCTTATTACTGTCTCCCCGTCCCCTGTTATGACAATCCAGTCCCTCTCCAATGTCAGTCTCGTCACTTCCCAACACATTCCCCAAACACCAGTCAATCTGGATGGCTTTCTGGCCAGCGAAAGTTGACCCAATTCTTTGCTATTCCTCCCACTGTCCGATGGAATCTAATTTTCCTCCTTCTGTTCCTGCACTGTGCTGAGTGACTTGTTTGATAGAACGTGATGAGTGTGACATTCCTGGACTTTGAGCCTAGATCAGAAGAAACCTTGAAGCTTCCACTGGGGCCTAGTGAACATTCTTTCTGGAAGCCCCAAGTTGCTATGTAGGAAATCCAACTGCCTTGAGACCATCACACTAAAGAATCCTGTATAATCACTTCAGTCCACCAGCCTTTTCATTGTCTCCACCAAGAAACCAAATACGCTGGTGGAGCCATGTTGCACCCTCCAGACCAGAAAAGCTGCCGGCTGAACCTGTGACTTCAGTAGTGCTGTGTGGAACAGAAGAATCACAAAACAGCCAACCCAGGGTCTGGGGTCCTGCCCTACACAATTGTGGTTTATAATACCTGGCTGTTATTTGGAGCCTCTGAGTCTCAGGGTGGATTATTAGGCAGCTGTAGATAATAGAAATGCTGACCCACTCCAGCCCCCCCAGTCTCTGCTCTTAGTTTATTCCACTCTGACATCTGGAAAAGCCTTTTCCTGGATCCTGGAAATTATCCAGATTATGCTTTCCATTCAGGTCAAATGCAAAGGAAAATTATCAGCCTATATGCTGCATTTATATCTCCTATTTGCCCTTCCAGATGCATTTCCTGCCCTTCTCATTGCTGCTCTGTGCCAGGCAGCCTGACCATCGGCAGGCTCTCTTGCCCTCTGACTTCTGGTTGGATTGGTCGATAGGGGGCACCACTAGGAGGTCAGAAGGTGGGAAGAGGGCGAAGTCAGGATGTTTATTCCCTCTTTTCTGCCGCTTGCACAGTCCCTGGGTCAGCTCTTGTCTCTCTGCCGGGGTCAAGGCTTCCAGCAGGTGGCTCTCTCCACACCATTCCGTGTCCAGGTTCCCTCCTGCCCCTTGGACTACTGCACTGGCCTTTATTGATTTCCCAGAACTCTTCTTTCTGGGTTAGCGTCCCCCGCCTGCCCCTCTCCCCAGCCTTCCCCCACCCCAGCCCGGGCCCCAGAGCTTGAGATAAAAGGGTCAAAACACAAGTAGTTTGGGAAGACAACCCAGGAAATACAGGAAGGGGAGGGCAGAAGTGAGACAGGATGTGAGAGGAGCAGAAACTTCCGGGCAGTTTACCAGACGGGACACCTGGAGCTCAGCCCCTCAGGGGACCTCGGAGATGACGTTTATGTGTCCCAGAGGCGACTCAGCTGAGGGGCGAGGGAGCTGTGGGTTTATCCACCTACTGCATGCTGTCATGGGAGGCTTGCTCCAAGATGTTAAGTTCCTGGTGCTTTTAGCTTGCTCAGGACACTGGCTAAGCTTGCCCCCACAGTTAGAAAACCCCTGCAGGGGAAGAGTGTGGAGGGAGAGGGGTGCGGGAGAGAGAGGTGCTGACTCAGGTGTTAGCAGCAAGTAGCTTCTGGCATGCAGAGGTGATGGTGAGGGCACGCAGGCAGTGTACTGACCGCTATGCCTACCTACCTCTTTGTAAATAATTCCTTTTTAAAAATTTTGTGTTTTTTCAGCTTTACTGCTACGTCACTTCAGTCGTGTCCGACTCTGTGCGACCCCGTCCCTGGGATTCTCCAGGCAAGAACACTGGAGTGGGTTGCCATTTCCTTCTCCAATGCATAAAAGTGAAAAGTGAAAGTGAAGTCGCTCAGTCATGTCTGACTCTTCGCGACCCCATGGACTGCAGCCTACCAGGCTCCTCTGTCCATGGGATTTTCCAGGCAAGAGTACTGGAGTGGGGTGCCATTGCCTCCTCTGCTTTACTGAGGTATAATTGACAAACTTGTAAGATATTTAAAGTGTATGATGTGATGATTTGATATACATATCCATCATGAAAGGATTTCTCCCCATTAAGTTAATAATGCCTCCGTCACCTCACATATTTACCTCTTTTTGTGTGTGTGAGAACGTTTAAGCTCTATTCTCTCAGCAAATGTCAGCTGTACAATAGAATTATCAACTAAAGTCACCATATTACACATTAGATCCTCAGACCTTATTCATCTTGTTGTTGTATAGTCACTAAGTCATGTCTGACTCTTCGTGACCTCATGGACTGCAGCCCGCCAGGTTGCTCTGTCCATGGAATTTCCCAGTCACGAATACTGGAGCGGGTTGTCATTCCCTCCTCCAGGGATCTTCCTTACGCAGGGATCAAACATGCATCTCCTGCATTGGCCAGCGGATTCTCTTCCACTGAGGCATCAGGGAAGCCTCATTCATCTTATAACTGAATGGAAATAATTCCTCTATTAAACTGTCCTTGATTACTCAGTTTGAGTGTATCACCTGGTTCCTGCCGGAACCCTCAGTGATACAGGCTGGTGATGAATCTATCCACATTAGTACACAGTGGGTCAATGTCTACAGAATTGGAGGAAGGATGGAGAGAGATACTCTCCCCCAAATTCATTATCCACAAAATTCATCATTTATGTGTGAAGAAAAGCAAGACCTATTCTCAAACATGCAGGAACTGTAACCCTCACATACCCTTCCTGAA